AAAAAAATCTAAATGCAACATAAGGATAGCTTAAAGATATTTCCACAGGCTCCTATATGAAAACACAACTATAACTTAAGTGAGATATTTGGGAGTCTACATTCTGTCTTCATTTCTGTTGCCTCTACATTTGTTTATACACTCATGTCCCATGATTACTTCCTTAGATCACTGTAATGTCCTCCATACAAATCTCTACCTGGGCTTTAATGACTACAACCATCCATTACATTGTCTCCAGAGTGAACTTTTAAAAATGAAATCTAGTAATACCATTCTGTTACTTAAGATCTTTATGGCTTGCTTTTGTTTTCAGGATAAAAAATAAGTTCCCAATAATGGTATACGAAGTGCTTAATGGTGTGACTTCTTCCTTCTCCAGTATCAACTCTGATCACTATACTGCAGCCATGTGCAATCATATGAACTCCTTCAGAACATCACGCTTCCTCTCCCCTTGGCCTCCATCCATTCATTCAACAGTACTGAGTACTTGCTATATGTTATTCACTGAACATTGAACAGTGACTATAATACTGATCTTGTTTAGATGAGTTGATGTTCTAATGAAGTAAGGAAGACGATAAATAAGTAAATGAAATTATTTTAGATTGTGGAATTTGGTTAAAAAAATAGGAAGATCACTCTAGTGGGAGGGCTGGAAGAGGATCTCCTTTAGATAAATGAAGTTGAGGTAAGCTAAATAAAACTTTTCTTTATCAAATTAAAAAAAATAAAATGAGGTTGAGGAGGCAGATAGGGGCCAATGATCTATAGTCTTAAAATATTTTAAGTGTTGGGCTGGAGGTGTAGCTCAGTGATACAGTGCTTGCTTAGCATGTGCAAGGAACGACCTCCATTTTATTCTCAGCATACAAACATAAAAGGGGGATATTATCTGAACCTCGGTAGAAGCTAAAAATCCCAAACCCATTTCTTGATTTGTTTGAAAACTGTTACCTTTAGAGGCAATTTTCCTTAACTAGATAATGATTAAGAATCCAGCAACAACTAATTTTTTTTTATCTTTTTTTTAGTTTGAGTTTCTTAATTGGCTTTGTTTTCAACTTTACATCAGGTAACATCTCATTCCATAAAAGACAACAAGTGTTCCCATAGGCTAAGTAAAAGAGGTTAGTTTTATAGACATAGAGAAGACACATAGACACATAAAAAATCTACCATACTAGACAGAAGAAAGCAAAAACAAACAAAAAACTTGGGTTGGTAACTTAAGAAGAAAGCAAAAACAAACAAAAAAATTGGGTTGGTAAGGTAGAATAGGGAAACAAAATAATTAACATCAGGTTATTTCAGGTTACTTTTTTCTTATAAGAACTAAAGCAGAGGTTACTTCGGTATCATACCAATTACAACTGGCCTGTTTGGAAAATTTGGCTGTTATCTAATTATGATTTCTTAGAAGATCAGATAAAAAGCTTAAGTTTCACCTTGGTGACATAGAACTTCAGCATGAGTTACTCCATTCTAATTTTTAGTCTTATATCTTGAAGACTAATGAGAGTGTGACCAAAACTTAGGGCATCGATGCTATTCTCAGTTACCATTTCTTTAAGTTTTTTGTCATTCTTTGCAAAAGAGATGACTTGATCTCCAACAGATAGCTTTATACAAAATTTAAAACTTTGAGGATATAGCATGTTGAAAGTCTAATATTATGACTACAAAGAGTATTAATTATACCAAAAGTTTAGAATATGCCTCTGGTTAAGGAGCCAGGATCTGCCCCCAAACCCCCTGAACCAAACCAGCTAAAATCATGTAAATCAAAGAGCTGGATGAAGAGTCTACCACCCCCCCCCTTTTTTTTTTTTGGTACCAGGGATTGAGCTCAGGGGCACTCGACCACTAAGCCACATCCTCAGCCCTATTTTGTATTTTATTTAGAGACAGGGTCTCACACCGAGTTGCTAAGCATCTCGACATTGCTGAGGCTGGCTTTGAACTCATAATCCTCCTGTCTCAGTCTCCGGAGCCTCTGAGATTACAGGTGTGCACGACCGAACCCGCCAAGAGTCTACCCATTTTAACAGAGTAGTCTGTTCATTAATTTTTGCAACTGGTTTTGTACAATCCCCATGTATTTATATGCAAAAAGAAGTGTCAGTAATAGCACAGAATCTTTCATTTAGATAACAGGTAGTAATTCTGACATATACCACCCTAGTGCAGAAGCTCAGTCCAAAACAATGGTTTTATGGTTTGGGTGTGAGGTGCCCCCAAAGGCTCACATGTGAGACAATGCAAGAAGATTTAGAGGAGAAATGATTGGGTTGTAAGAGTCTTAACCCAATCAGTGAATTAATCCCCCGTAGGGATTAACTGAACAGTAATTGAAGTGGTAGGGTGTAGCTGAAGAATGGAGCCAGCCTTTTATAGACTGAGACTTCTGAAACCATGAGCCCTCAAACAAACTTCCTCCCCTACAGTGGTGCGAGTCAGGTCTTTTAGTCACGGCAACGAAAAAGCTGACTACAACAAATGGCTTCCTATAGATTTTGTTTAATAGTTTATTCCCCTTGTTATAAGTGGGAGGGCCTTGTGGCTCACTGATAAGGAATGGAGCTGGTAAGTGTAACTGTGTGACTTTCAATGCTAGGTGAAGAGAACCCTTGAAGTTTCCATTCTCAGAGAAGCTAGCAGCACATAAGAAGTCTACCATGCTAAAGAGAACATAAGGACAGCCCCCACCAAAAAAATAAGAAAAGGAAGAGGGACCTATCTGAGCCTAGGCTTCCATTTTTCCCTTTTACACCTTAAACCATTTTAGCCTTCAATTAAATAGCACCAAGTGACCCTTTATCATGCTACATGGAGCATCTGTTGGTTACTTAGCGGAGGATAACCAAAATTCCTAACCCACAAAAATATGAGATACAATAACATGGTTATTACTTTAAGTTACTAAATTTGGGAGGTTTGTCAAGAGCAATAGGTAAATGACTTGATTTGAATTTCTATTTTCCAATTGAGAACAAATTACCTATTGAAGAGACCAATAATGATAATATATTAATTATAAAGAAACAATTTCTTTTTTGTGGTTCTAGGGTTGAGCCCAAGGCCTTGCACATGGTAGGCAAGTGTTCTACTGTTCAGCTATACCCCCAGCCTTTAATAAGATTTTTGATGCTTTAGTAAGCATAATATATATGCTTTCATTCATTCCAACATTTGTTGAGACCCTGCTCTGTTAAGTACAGAGCATAATGTTGGAGACCCAAAGATGAATAATACATAGTTCTTGGCAACGATGTGCTCACAGTCTAGTGACATAATGGGCTGGGTTGAATTGGAGATATGCAGATGAAATATTCTCCAAAGCACAATCTTTGCATGCTTTACTGAGAAATAAATACATTTTGTTGTTTTGCTCTACTGACAAAACATCAGATCTTTGTATAGTTGGCTCCTTCTCATTGGACTGGTCTCATTCCAAATTTTACTAAAAGAAGTCTTGTCCGGGGTTGGGGTATAGCTTAGTGGTAGAGTGCTTGTCTAGCATTTGCGAGGCCCTGTAAAAAAGATCTTCTCCAACTACTGAAGTTCTCCTTCTCTGATTTCCTTTCTATCCCAAATATCACTTTCTAAAGTAAAACTGTTTATTTGCTACCTCACTCCCACCATCATGTAAACTTCATAAAATTAGGAATTTTTGTTAACCACATATTTCTAATACTAAAAACACTGCTGGGCACATAGGATATACTTTCAAAATATTGTTAAATGAACATTGTACTACAATTACTCTAATATGTTGTTGAAACCTTTTTAGGTGCCCTTTCTGAAACACACTGGGAGAAATTCTGTTTCTGTAGTAGGAAAATTCTGATTTTTCCCATCATGTCATAGATAGTTTTCCTCTTATCTTCAAGTCGAGTTTTGTGGCTTATTCCAAGAAGGTAAACAGGGTTCATACCCTCTCTTCAGTGCTCTAGCTCCTCTCTTTGTGTCACCTTCCTTTGGTATTGTCTTCTTTCTTCAATTAAAATGATTTTTATTTTATTACATTTCTATATAAAGTGGATTAAATCCTTCTCAGAACAAGAAGAGGATATATGTAAATAAGCACAATATACGCTTGCTGAGATTCCAAGTGACTGTGTCTTCCATTTTTGCAAGACTCATGTTCCTGGTTATGATGTCCCTTAAAACCAGCAGCTGGAGAGCAAGCAAACAAGAGAGCATTTGCTCCAAAAGGGAATAAGTAAAACTGATACTATTTAGTGAATCACTAAGAGGCAAAACTGTGGAAAACCTTATGCTTTATAGTTTACAGGCACTGTGGCAGTGTTTTCCAAGGACAGCTTTTTTTAGGCCCTGGCCCAGAGCTCCAGCTTGTCATGTCTGCTCAGGAAAATTCAAACAACAAATACAAATATTTAATATTTAACTTATTCTTCTTTATTCTAAGAATTAATACATAGCTCAAGAACACCATTCTAAGATAAAAGATAACACAAATTTACTTCCATTGTTCCTAAATTTTAAATTCCATTTTACAAAGTAAACTTTTATAGTTTTTGTCTTCATAAATACAGGCTTTGTGGCCTTTTCCTCATAACCAAAAATGACACCGTAGGAAGAATCTCTAGCATCTGCTAGTAAGCATTATGAGGAGTCTGATGATGTCTAAGACATTGTTCCAACAAATAAAAATCTTAAGAGCTGGCAGGGTGTGCAGAAAATAAATCAATTCCAACAAAGGAAGGTAGGAAGGCAAGGTTTGGTGTGTACAGAATCACCTGGAGAACTTGATGAACATGAGTTTTAGGATCCCATTTCTGGAGATTTTGATAGGAAAGGACTGGGAGGGAGGGAAGAGAACTTGCTCTGCCTTAGGTACCTTACCACCTCTGGAGGATGGCTAGTCGGTTCAATGGATAAGAGTAGGTAAAGCCTCTATGGGTGCATTAAACACTCAAGTCTCATGGAAGATGGATATAAATGACACTCTCTAGTGAAAACAAGAACATTTAGGGGAGATTAATGTTATCAAAAATTCAGTCCTTGTCCCTGATGCCAATCCAATAACAAGGACATGGTTTTGAGAAAAAGGAAAAAGAAGTTTTATTGCTTTGCTAGTAAAGGAGAAAGAAGCACAAGGGACTCCAATCCCAGAGGATATGATTCTGCCCATCCCAGGAAACAGAGTTTTTTTTGGGGGGAGGTGATTCAAAGGCTACATTCCACTTGTTCTGTTCAGAGTTGTACTTCACTTGTTAATTTGAGAGAGAGTTATTTTTTAAATCTTCTGGTGTTATCCCCAAGGTCTGAATTACTCCATTCTGGTGGGTGTGTGCTTAAGGATAGATAACTGCCTCCGATGGGGAAGAAAGGTAATTCTGTTTCCCCTGAGATTAGAGAGGGAGAGATATTAAGGAAGAGCAGAGAAAGAAGAGAAAGAAACATGTCCCTTTTAAAAATAATTTGCAGTGATAGAGCATCAAGGGCTATATATAAAACATAAAGTTGACCACTGTTACTTTAAGAAAATGAGGGTGGGATTAGGTTGGGATAGTTTTTTGAATTAATATCAGGCCCCTTGAGGTTGAACACAAGCCTTTGGAGAATGCCTAGAGATGGAGATAGAGATCTCTCTATCTCTCTCTCTCTCTCTCTTACGCACACACATACACCACAGAGAGGAAAATCAGATGACCTTCTGAAAAGCATGTTTGCACAGTCCACTCAACAGCAAGACAAACTGGGGCGGAAGTTTTGCTTTGCTTCAAACACTTTGCTGCTGATCCATACCCTCAGGTCTAGCAGTTTTCCTTAAAAGTCTCTAATAAAATAAAAAAAAAAATTCACTTGTAATCATTATTTTGTAATAAACAATAACTTTTAAACTATGTCTCTCTTGATAAAAATACAGAAAACATTAGAAGTTTCTCCAAATCCCAATGTAACCGTGGCTATTATTTTGCATGTAAGCTTCCAAGACTTTCCTGTACGTTTCCATACAACATATGCTAATTAACAATACACAGTGCACGTTCTGCCAAGTACTTCACATAAACACCCAATCCGCAGTAGAAACGGTCTGACAACCTTGCTGTTTTCTTTTGCGAAGTGTCGTAACGTTCAGTCCGCTTCAGAGTATTTTGGAGAGCAGCGTGGAAGGCCACGTAGATGCTACCGAATAGCGGCGGAAAGGCGGCGCACCGCGGACTTCGAACCCCCGTGGAGGGCGGGGGCGAGGGCGGTGACGGCGCGCCGTGATGACGCACTACGGCGTGCGCGATGACAGCATTGGTCGCGGCAAATAGGCGGGGCGGAGGCTGCGGCGGCGTCGGGCGCGTGCACACGTTGCATCCTCTCGTTTTCAGCCGATCGCGGGTCTTTAGGGCGCCAGGCAGGCGGGCTGACAGGTGTATCCGGAGACCCCTGGAGATGGCTACGCTCTGTCTCACCGTGAATTCTGGAGACCCGCCCCTGGGTAAGAGGCAGCTGCCGCCGACCGTGTGGGTTGCATCAGCCAGGGAGGGTGCGGGGCTGGGAACCTCTCTGCGCCCCGGCTTGGCGCAGTGGCGGCGGTCACCGCCTAGGAGAATGGGCCTTTCCTTTTCCCCAAGCTACACACGGAGTAGGACTCGAGCCCTTCGCGTTCTGCACCTTACCTGGCTGCGGAAGACAACGGTTTCCAGGGCGTGGAGGAAGGTGCGGTGTGAGCAACCGGAGGCTTTTGGACCACCTTCTCTCAGAGGGTTGACTTTAAGCCGGTTTCCTGCTCCCTTTTTGAAATGCATTCCTCTGGGGACCAAGAACTGGTCGTAGAAATAGCATCTTAAAACTTATCTTCGCTTTGTTTTTAGCATTTTCTCTCCCAATTCTCGTCTTGAATTTAGTTGATTTTTTTTCCTTACATTTTGTTAGAGTCTAAATGAACCAATAGATTGTCCTGTTAGCATTTAGGCTTTTAACTGGGGTTGCATTTATTTTTAGTTAAGAGTGGTAAAAAAGATAATTGCTAAAAACGGGTTTGCTGCATGTTAATGTGGTTGTGTTTCAACACACCCTGTGGATGTAGTAAATGTCAGAGTAAACATCAGATCTGTCACCTTCCTAATACATCTTAAGTTGAAATTGATATTGCTTTTTCAACTTGGCCAAGGTTACTGTGGGTAAATAGCGTAGAATTTCTGCTTTTTCATTACTTTGGGAAATTACACAAAAGAATTTTAAGTACTTTACTCCTGTGTTATACATAGTTAAATGCACAGTACTTCCCCACCCCCCACTCTGGTGCTGAGGATTGAACCCAGGACCTTGTGCATGCTAGGCAAATGATCTGCCAACTGAGCTGTGTCCCCTTCTCCACACGAGTACTTTCTAATGTTCAAGAAGCCCAGACTTTTAAATATAATTGTCCACGGGGAATCATGAAATTAATCATTATTTTCTCAACTTTGGTGGTGTTGTGAGTTTATTGGAATACTTTTTTTTTTTTTTTTTTGGTGCTGAAGATTGAACATAGGGCTTTCTGCATTCTAAGCAAAGGTTTACCATTGAGTTACACTTCCAGCCCATTTTAGATATTAAAAATGATATGTGTCAGTGTATTGGTTTCAGGAATTATGGGCTAACCCCACAACAAATGAATGAGCTCTGAAAGAAATAGATTTGATTCTTGAGCTGGACTAATATTAGACAATATGGCCTCATGGTTGAGAGCAAAGATATTTGGTTCGTGGAGGCCTGTGTGCAGTCCTGGCTGCTAACTATTAGTTGTGGAACCTTGATATTCCTTGTTTAGTGACTCCCACAATTTGCTTATTTAAGGAAGTGGGGTAGGGACTGGGGATGTGGCCCAGCAGTAGAACACTTGCCCAACCTGCTCAAGGCCCTGAGTTCAATCCCCAGCACCACAAAAAGAGAGGGGGGGAGGGCTAATGTTTTCTATATAGTGTTGGTTGCCAGAAAAAAATGAGACTGTAGGTAACATTCCAGACACATTTTAGATATTGATAAGTGGGTATAGTTTTTACTAATGTTGCTTAGATCATTACTCTAAAGGCGATTGATCTATTTCTTTAGTGAATTATAGAACTCGGAACCACATTGCTGTTAGTATTCTGAAAGAGAATTTTAAAGAAATATGTTATTATTTTGGACTATAGACCAGTTATAAAATATGTCTTTTTCTTCTGGTTGTACCTCACCTATCTTTTGTTTTTTTATTTAATTCTTTTCAGTGACTCAAGTCAGATACATTTTATCTTTAAATAATAAAATTAAATGAAATGTTTAAAAGATGGATTGGATGGCTAGAATTCCTCTGTTTTAATATGTCTAAATGTTATTTTTTTAATGTTAAAATAATTTAAAACTTTCAAAGATGCAATAGAACCAAGAACTTTTCTTCCCTGTACTACCTGAGAGCATACTGCAATATGATGCATCAGCACCTCAGAATATTCCAGTGTGCATTACCCAGAGGAAGAAATCTCTCCATCTGACCTCTTATAATCATCAAAATCAGGAAATACATCTTGATAAAATCCTTAACATCTAAAGTATGTTCTTCTTCTAACACTAATTGCTTCAATAGTGCCTTCCATAGCATAAGGACCAAAATCTAGGACTAAGTTTTGTTTGTACTTGGTTGTCATGTCTCCTCAATCTTTTTCGATCTGAAATAGTTTAGTAGTTTTTTTCCCTTGGTTTCATAGCTTTGACCCCTCTAAAGATTATAAATCTCTTGAAGAATAACTCCTAATCAGGCTGTCTGATGTTTTCTTGGGACTAGATTTCAGCTTGTGCATCTTTGGCAGGAGTGATTCTTTTTTCTTTATTACAGAATTGATTCCTTATTCTTCATTCAGCCCATCATTTGATGCATGAATTTGATTTTCCCATTACTAATAATTCCAACCTTGATCACTTACGAGGGCATCTGCCAGCTTTTCCCACTGCAGTTTTCCCTTTTGTTTAATAGGTATTTTAATGGGAGAACTTTGGGACCATGCAAAAATTCTTCTCTTCATTAAACCTTTGCATGCTGGTTTCAGCATCCATTAATGTTTCCTGCCTAACTTGATTATTATGATGGTTGCCAAATGTTGGCCTTCTGATTCTACAGTTCCTTTTAAAGAGCTGAGGGTGTAACTCAGCAGTTGCCTAGCTTGTGGGAGGTCCTGGGTTCCATCCCCTATACTGCCAAGAAAAAGGATATAATTTATTTTCCAAGTTGGCATTTGTTTTACATTAGTTGACATTTTTTTGTGAGAAGAGTTTTCCTATTTAAAAAAAAATCATAGTAAAATAAATATATTCAATGTATTACATTATTTTCATTTTCAATTTAAAAATTTTTTATTTTTAAAAATTAGTTTTGTTGGGGCTGGGGTTGTGGCTCAGAGGTAGAGCACTCACCTAGCATGTGTAAAAAACTGGGTTCGATCCTCAGCACCACATAAAAATAAAATAAAGATGTATTATCTACCTATAACTAGAAAATAAATATTTTTAAAAATTAGTTTTGTTGAGTTATAATTTGTATACAGTCAAGTATACCAGCTTTATGAGTACAAGTTGACATAAAATATGCAGTGATATATGTAATTTATAAACCTCCACCACAACAATAATATAGAATATTTCTGTTGCTTCCAAAAAATTCTCTTATTCCCTTTTTAGTCATCTCTCTCCTCATCCTTGGCTCCTGGTAGCCTCTGACATGTTTTTTGTCACTTTGTTTGCTTTTTCTAGAATTTCATGTGCATTGAACCATATTATACATTTTTTTACTCCTAAGATAGTGTTTTTTATATTTATTTTGTTGCTTGTAATGGTTTATTCCCTTTATTTGCTCAGTAGGATCTTTTTGTAATGATATGCTAAAATTTATTTCATTTTGGTGGTCAGATTGCCCCAATATGCCAGGGGAGTCTAAGCTGGCCTCTATGTCTTTGTGACCTGATTTTTTATCTCTCTTTTGAATAATTTCTTGTTTTAATCTGTTTTGTGCTAATATAGCAGAATACCACAGAGTGGGTAATATATTACTTTATTATTACTAATAGTATTAGTAGTATTTTGCAATGCAATGTTGTTATCCTCTTGCACATTCTACAAAAGTGTTCTCCCACTGAGCTACATCCCTGCATCCCAGACTGGGTTATTTATAATGAACAAAAGTTTATTGTCTGATGTTTTTGGAGCATGGTAAATCCATGATTAATGGGGATACATCTGGCAAGTCCTTCTTGCTGTGTCATAACATAGCAGAAGAGCTGAGAAAGAGCACATGGGAAAGAGCAAACCCATTCTCACATTGCCTCTTGACCTAAAATACCTGTTAAAGGTCCTATTTCTTGATATTGTTATAGTGGCTATGAAATTTCAAGGTAAGTTTCTGAGGGGACAGACCTTCAAACAGAACTTGATTTCTAGCACAATAAGATATTCTAGGTTACTTTCCCTAACCTGGTGTAGTTTCCAAGAGAGCATGGTATTTGGAAATGATATATGAATGCTAGCTGTTCATCTTAACAAATTAAGAAAACAAAGAATTAGTGAGTCAATTTAGTAAAATGTGTTGAGAGGCAGTAGTACTCTGTTGCAGAGTGGGAGGTCTGGACTGAGCACTGCATTCAGCTCCTGACTGCCATGTATTTAGTAGCTAAGGACATCCGGCTGGTTCTTTAACCTCTCTAAGCTTCAGTTTCCTCTTCTATAGTGGGAATAAAGGTATCAACTTAAGGTTATGACAAAGATTAAAAATTGTAATTACTCTAAAGCATTTAGTGTAGAACCTACCACATAGTAATTATTTAAATACTTTTGACTTTTATACAGAGTACAATTCTAATTTCTTATCATCTGAAGAAGGAAAAGATTCATTTTATTATTACTAATCAAAACCTGAGCATATTCAAAAGCAAATGGACTGTGCTAATAATGAATTCTAATTTATTTCTCCAATATCAAAGTCTAGATTTGCTGTCTATATCCTGCTGGGGGAGGGGGAAGGTTACTCCTTATGGGACATAATATTAGTTTGTTGACTCATCCCTAATGCTTTGTGATTCATTGTTTTTAAAGAGAAATCTTTTCATCCTATCATTTTTAGAAGCTTTGCTGGTGGTAGAACATGTGAAAGGTGATGTCAGCATTTCTGTTGAAGAAGGGAAAGAAAATATTCTTCGTGTTTCTGAGTAAGTGCTTTTTAATTTCTATTTTTAGTACTGAACAACATTTAAAAAATATTCATCATTAAATG